TTTTATTTGACATTTAGTAATTTTTAGCTTTTTTTTTTGTCATTTTCTCATAAATAAATGCAGAATATCTTTACTAGTATAAGTGCTCATATTTAATTCTTAGTAATGCCTCGAATATGATTTTCTTTAATAAGAGTATAACAATACATAGCAAAAAAAAAATTTAATGCTACCATATGTTGTGCATGAGAGTGGAAGATTACCACATGGTAACCGGTAAGATTGAACTAGTTTTCTTTGGGAAAATTTCACTGTAGGACCGCACAAGACAATTAATCTCAAAGAGCCCCCAAAACTTTCTGAAATCTCACTGCAGGACCAAGGGGCCAATTTGATATTAATTCCACAAACGAAATGACGCCACTACCCTTAGCATCAGGTGAACCAGTCCACATGTGAACGGACTGATTCCACGTGTGAATATATGTATTTATTCTGCAAATTGGCTAGTTCCCTTTGCAAATGCGCTCTCTCGCACTTGTTTCCTCATGAACGCATGCATCAGGTGAACCAATCCACATGTGAACGGACTGATTTCCCGTGTGAATATATGTATTTCATCTGCAAATTAGCTAGTTTCCCTTGCAAATGCGCTCTCCCGCACTTGTTCCCTCACGGACGCATTCATCAGGTGAACCAGTCCACATATGAACGGACTGATTCCACGTGTGAACATATGTATTTATTCTGTAAATTGGCTAGTTCCCTTTGCAAATGCACTCTCCCGCACTTGTTCCCTTCTACTAGGGGCAGTGTCGTCATTTCGTTTGTGGAATTAATATCAGATTGGCCCCTTGGTCCTGCAGTGAAGTTTCAGAAAGTTTTGGGGGCTCTTTGAGATTAATTGTCTTGTGCGGTCCTATAATGAAATTTTCCCTTTTTCTTTGGCCAAGTCACGCAAGGTTTTGGTAACTTTATATAAATAACCTCACTAGTAGAAATAGCCAATCTGAACTGATTTTTTTAAGGAAAAATTGTAATTAGGTCCCATCCAAGGGAATTAAATAAAAAAAAGTCTCTTGAAATCATAAAATTATTCTGAAATCCCAAGGGATCTTTTTACAATAAATTTTATTTGTTTAATTACCAAATTATCCTTCTTCTTTTTTTTAAGTTTGTATTGACAACTGAAAGAGCAGTGTTTGATAACTCAGGGTGTAAGGATTGACAACTATAGCGGCTGGTTTGACAATACATTTTCTCAGTATATCACAAAATGTAACGCATGAGTTGTCAAACCAGCCGCGATAGTTGTCAATCCTTATACTGAGAAAATGTATTGTCAAACCAGTCGCGATAGTTGTCAATCTTTACACCCTGAGTTATCAACCACTGCTCTTTCAGTTGTCAATACAAACTTAAAAAAAAGAAGAAGGATAATTTGGTAATTAAACAAATAAAATTTATTGTAAAAAGATCCCTTGGGATTTCAGAATAATTTTATGATTTCAAGAGACTTTTTTTTATTTAATTCTTTTAGGTGAGACCTAATTGCAATTCTTCCTTTTTTTAAACCGGTTGTAGATTATGAGATTTAAGAAATATAACTGGTTGGTAATTTTGTTTGTTTTTCTTTCACCCCAACTAGCTCCTCTGAAGTTGTTGAACATGATGATCCAGTAAAAAGATAAAATGAAAATGTTCTTTGGTTCAGTCTTGGCTTCATCCTGCTTTTGCCACCCAAAATGATTACGGCGCTCAGAAATAATTTCTTCTGAAAGAATCAAAATCTGCCTACTGACCGGATGGTTGTAGCTTTTCTTCAATTCCTTTGATCCTCCCAATGTCCAATGCAGATAGATAACTTATTTGGTATTATATACTATAATACTCATCATTAGTATAAGAGTTAGTTGGGAGATTAGATTTTATTTTAAATATAAAATCTCAATCTTTTTTTTTCACATCTTTTCTTAAAATATCTCCATTGATCATGAGAAATTCTCCATCAAAAAATAATTCCAATTATCCAATACATATAATTGAAGATAATAATTTAAGAAGATTAACATATATTTATGACAAATATTAACTAATCTTTTTAATATCTTTAATAGTCTATCTCTTATAATCGCGTAAATTTGATAGGACTCATCTGTGTCCACTTTACTTGGGGCCTGGTTATTGGATAATCTAACCCCTAGAATTTTGGTATCATGCAATTCTGAGACAATTCAAACATCAGGCCAGACATTTTTGTGAGATTGTCCATGTTCCCTTTTTGCTTACTCAATGAGGATATAGTCCTCATAACTCAGTTCAGATCGTGACCGAATATTCCTGCAAGTTCTCAGACCTTTTTGTGATATCTGCCAACTTTGTAGGAACTACTTTGGAAAGAGATTTATTGGTCTCATTATGCAAAAAAAAAAAAAAAAAAGGATATGATCAAGATATCTGCCAACTTTGTAAAACAATTTTTTGTTTTTAACAACATAAAAAAAACTTGTTTGGTAATTTATTCTTAGTTAATTGTTTTAAAAACAAAAAAACAGTAATTTGTTTTTAAAAACTAAAAAACCAAAATAACTTTTAGGAAAAAAGACAGAAAAATGACAAATGAACTTCATAATACCAAAAAGGTCTGCTGAATTTGAGAAATCCCAGTTTAGTCTTAAGAGACTAATTTGGCATTTATAAGTTTGCTAAAATGACCATATTGCCCTTCATTTTATTTATTGTTTTTAAAATACTAAAGCCTCCATTGGGCGACCTTTCACAGGAGCGATAATTGGTCACAGAGCTCCACCGGTCATAAACAATTTTTTTGAAAATTTTTACAATTTCAGTATAACGGTTAACAACTTTTATAACGCTATTAACAACTTTAGTATAACAGTTAACAATAAGTTTTCTGGAAAATTCAACAAGCTCTAGCGGCCGGAAACAATTTTTTTGAAAATTTTTACAACTCAGTATAACAGTTAACAACTTTTATAACGCTATTAACAACTTTAGTATAGCAGTTAACAACAAGTTTTTGAGTTTGTTAACAGCATTACTGAAGTTGTAAAAATACTACTTTTTGAATTTCCCGAACAACCTGTTGTTAACTGCTATATCGAAGTTGTTAATAGTGTTACAAAAGTTATTAACTGTTATACTGAAGTTGTAAAAATTTTCAAAAAAGAAGTAGTTGTTAAAGTTATAAAAATGCCATTTTTTTGAATTTTTAAGAAAATCTGTTGTTAAATGTTATACCGAAGTTATTAATAGAGTTACGGAACTTATTAATGACATTATTGAAGTTGTAAAAATGCTACTTTTTGAATTTTTTTGAAAAATTTGTTGTTAACTATTATACTGAGGTTGTTAATAACATGAAAAAAGTTATTAACCGTTATATTGAAATTGTAAAAATTTTCAAAAGAAAAAAAGCTGCTAAAATTATAAAAATGCCGTTTTTTTTGAATTTTTAAGAAAACATATTGTTAAATGCCATATCGAAGTTGTTAATAGGGTTACGGAACTTATTAACGACATTATTGAAGTTGTAAAAATGTTACCTTTTGAATTTCTCGAAAAATCTGTTGTTAATAGTGTTACACAAGTTGTTAATCGTTATACTGAAGTTATGAAAATTTTCAAAAAAATTATTTCCGGCCGTCGGAGCTTGTTGAATTTTCCGAAAAACATGTTGTTAATTGCTATATTGAAGTTGTTAATAACATTACAAAAGTTGTTAACTATTATACTGAAGTTGTAAAAAATTTAAAAAAATTGTTTTTGGTTGCTGAAGCTTGTTAAATTTTTCAGAAAACCTATTGTTAATTACTATACTGAAATTGTTAATAATATTACAAAAGTTGTTAATCGTTATACTAAAGCTATATAAATTTTCAAAAAAATTGTTTTCGACTGGCAGAGCTTCGTTGACCAATTGTCGGCCGATCACTGGAGCTTTGGTGACTACCGTTGTCAAAGCTTCGGCGACCGGCCGACCAGTGGAGGCTTTGGTATTTTAAAAACAATAAATAAAATAAAGGACAATATCATCATTTCAACAAACTTATAATGTCAAATTAGTTTCTTGAGACTAAATTGGGATTTCTCAAATTCAGCAGACCTTTTTGATATTATGAAGTTCATTTGTCATTTTTTTATCTTTTTCCCTAACTTTTATATGTTTTGTTGTTTTTGTTTTTGTATAATAGAGTTATTTTTTTAACTTTTAAAAATTATCATTTTTAAAAAAAATTTCAAAGTAATGGGTCATATTGTCTCAATTTTAAATTTTCAGAATAAATTTGTTCTCAAAAAAACCTTTTAGAAACCCAAAGCTCCTGAATCCTGAATAAAAACTTTCAGCACAAATTTATACCTTAACCCAATATTATTTTAAATCAAATACTATTTTAACAAATACTTTAATAGCTGTTAGGTAATTATTGAAATATTATATATAAAAATTATCATATTTGTCTTAATGATATTATACAAAAAATATTAATAATTTTGTGTTCAATAATTTCAGTATTATTATTATTATTATTATTATTGACATTATTTACAAATCTTTACACTCAATTTACCAGTTAACTTTTAAGATTTACAAAATTTTGTTCTGAGCACTCAGAGAAAGTTTTGGTTTTCCAAAAGGTTTTTTAGAAGCAAATTTATTCTAAAAATTTAAAATCATAATAATATATATTTTTTACCATTAAAAACTTTTTAAAAATTATTTTGAATAGAGTAAATTTGTTCCTAAAAAAAGATTTCACATAACTAACACCTATCACTAAAAATTTCTAGGGTTAACTCTTATATATTTATTACTCCTTTTGGCTTTAAATATAATACTTATTTTATAATATAATTTATAGGGTAAAATGAATTTTATATTTATGGATGGGACCGGTATGGTCAAACGTTGCTGTGACCAGTTAAAAACTCTCAACTCTACTGGTTGATGTTCATGATGCTTGTGGTGATTATAAGACTTGTTCAAGAACAACCCAAAAATAATCCTCACATATGACATAACACTGTCCCGCTCGGCCGTTCCTGAATTGTAGAAAACTTCAGTCCGACGACCAAGGCGCCGATCCTGCTTCGGAGACGGTGACAGGTGACGGCTGGAATTCTAATCATATTTGAGATAGTTAGTTGTGATTGTTGTAGCCGTGCTTGACCACTTTTTGTCTCTGAATCAACAAAATTTCCTTTTCCCAAATCGTAATTGCTTCTTAGATATTTTTGTTATGGTTGTTCTTCAAAGTCCCACCCAGTTCATCCTAAGCCTATGTGCAATCGTCGTGAAGGGTCACTGGGGTAATCTGTTGAAGCTAGAGAAGGCTTCCGCTCTCACTTCTTCCACCATTCACCAGGTACTTCTTCAGCTCTCTCTCCATGGCTTTCCTCCATCTCATTCCTTCTCATTCTTCAAATGGGTCGAGACAATTCCAAATTTTAAGCACTCTTTGCATTGTTCATGGTCCATGCTTCATATCCTCGTAAAGCATAAACACTTTAGAACTGCACAAGAGATGCTTGAGAAAATTGCCCACAGGGATTTTCTTTCGTCGCCTTCAGTTTTGAGAACTTTGATTGAAATTCAACATGACCCAGAAGTGAATTCGCATGTATTGAGCTGGCTTGTAATACATTATGCAAAATCAAAGATGACCGATGATGCCATTCAGGTTCTTGAACAGATGAGGTTGTATAAATTGAACCCTCATTTGCATGCCTGTACTGTGCTTCTGAATTCTTTGGTCAAGGAAAGGGTTACTAACATGGTATGGAAGGTTTACAAACAATTGGTTAAAGCTGGTGTTTTTCCTAATGTGCATATCTATAATGTGTTAATCCATGCTTGTTCCAAATCAGGAGATGTAGAGAGAGCAGAACATTTACTGAATGAGATGGAAGAGAAGGGTGTGTTTCCTGATATTTTCACTTACAATACTTTGATATCATTATATTGCAAGAGAAGTATGCACTACGAGGCTTTATCTATCCAGGAAAGAATGGAAAGAGAAGGAATAAATCTTGACATTGTTAGTTACAATTCTCTTATTTATGGATTCTGTAGAGAGGGTAGGATGAGAGAAGCCATGAGGATATTCGGCAACATCAAAGGTGCAATTCCCAATGATGTTACGTACACTACATTGATTGATGGGTATTGTAAAACAAATGACCTGGAGCAAGCTCTGAAATTGCGTGAGATGATGCAGGCTAGGGGATTGTACCCCGGCGTTGTTACTTATAATTCAATTTTGCGTAAGTTGTGTCAGGATGGCAGAATAAGAGAGGCAAATAAACTCTTGACAGAGATGAGTGAAAGAAAAATTCAGCCTGATAATGTCACATGTAACACATTGATTAATGCTTATTGCAAGATAGGAGATATGAAATCTGCGTTGAAATTTAAGAACAAGATGTTAGAGGCTGGATTGAAACCTGACCCATTTACTTATAAAGCATTAATTCATGGGTTCTGCAAGATAAAAGAGCTGGAAAGTGCCAAGGAGATGTTGTTTTCCATGCTTGATGCTGGGTTTTCCCCCAATTATTCCACTTATTCATGGATCGTAGATGGTTACTGCAATAAAGACAATGAAGATGCAGTTGTTACGCTCCCTGATGAGTTTCTTAGAAGAGGTCTTTTTATTGATGTGTCACTATACAGGGCTTTAATTAGAAGGTTATGCAAGTTAGAAAGGATACCATGTGCTCTGAAGTTATTTAATCTTATGGAAGGGAGGGGCATATCAGGTGACAGCATTGTCTACACAAGTCTTGCTTATGCATATTGGAAATTAGGGAATGCAAAGTTTGCATCAAATATGTTAGAAGAGATGACCAGAAGGAGGTTGATGATAACAAGCAAAATCTATAAATGTTTTGGTAATCATACTCTTGGTAGTGAAAACCACACTTCATGTTCATTCTGGAATTATGTGGTGGAAAGGGGCCTTATGTCAAGAAGTACAATGAATAAAATAAAGCAAATGGAGTTATGATGACTAACCATTGTATACTATAATCCTCACCCCTAGATTTTTAAGCTTTAAGAGTGGAAAATGAATTACTGGTCATGATTGCATTTATAGCTTTCTTTCTATATCTTTTCTTTATAATATATTAAAGGATAGAAGTAACTGGCTGTGACTAGAGTTTGACGATATTAACTAAGCCTGGGGAAATATATTTATATGCTAACGGATCAAAATTTACTGTATCATGCAGAGGCATAACTACTTTTCTCTGTAACTTGGGATGAAAAGCTAGCAGGTTTTCTTAAAATTCTTATGTACTTCAAATAGATCATGAATATATGAGTCAGTTTGATGCTTGTGTTTTGGCTACTGAATACTGCTGCCTACTCCAAAATCATTTTGCTTTGAGAGTCAGATTTTGTCTTGCTTGAGTATTGTGTGTAATAATTCAAGTCCAATATAGCTGTGGCTGCAGTAGCATTGGACTACTGAAGTTTCTTTTATTTCTTGATCCCCATTGCCTTCAAATTAACCATATTGCTGGAAGAGACATTTGCATTACCATTATCTATAGTACTGTAAAGTACTGAAACTTTAGGTTGTTTGGTTTCTTGTTTTGAAAACAATTTTTTGTTTTTAAAAAACAGAAAAACAAAAAAACTTGTTTGGTAATTTGTTTTTAGTTGATTGTTTTAAAAAACAAAAAACAATAACATATTTTTAAAAATAAAAAAATCAAAACAACTTTTATCTGTTTTCTTGTTTTTGTTTTTGTGTTTTTTTTATTTTTTGTTTTGAAAAATTTTGAGAAATCTTCTTTTCTTTTTACTTACTATCCATCACTTATTATTATCAACGACAACTATCACTTACCAAATATAGTTTTCTATGGTTTTTTTTTTCAAACTTGATTTTTTAAAATTATTATCCAAACAAATTCTTTTTTTTTTGTTTTCAAAACTTGTTCTAAGAAACAATTTTATAAAGTTGTTTTGAGGACAAAAAAACAAAGAACAAAAACAAACAGGCCCTTAATATTTGTTGATGATTCTCGTGGCATTAATTAAACTCACTGCTAGACCATAAGTGGAATGGATCTTATGTGTTATTACCTTATTGGCCACGAATAGAATAGGTAGCCAGAACTAGAAGTCTTTTGGCGCATATATATTTGATTGATGAAAATCGTTTAAAGAAATTTGCTATTTATACACCAAAATTGAATGAAAATCTTGTGATAAGAAAATGAATGAAAATCTTTGTCTTCAGTCAGCTACATTATATCAGGGACCCCTATTCTGCACTATCTACTCCTCCTTGCTAAGCTGTTGAAACAGGGTAGAGGAAAATGTCCTAGGGTCTATGTGTCTTCAATTTTAATTGGAAAACACCTCTAACTGCTATATTTTTGCTCTGGTTTTATCGGGTGAATGGGTTTCTTTTTCCATGTCCTTCCTTTTGTTATTGATGAATTGGTCTTCCTCTTCGTTAACTCTTGATTTCATCAAATGTGGCTTGAGCTTGTTTACATCTGACTGTTGAACAGGTTTCAGAAAAAATTCTTGAGCTCCTTCTTCTAAGCATCTGATTCAAACAAAAATTAGGCCATGTCAGATCTAAGATTCAGTCAGTTATAACCTATCTAATTTTGAAATTCTTAGTTATTTTCTTGTTATGATATTAGCTTTGGGGTTATAATTTGCAGCTTCTCTCACCTGTTGATTCTTGATGGGACATTCTCTGAGGACATAATTACCACTGGTATGTTTTTGAGAGATTCAGATCCTGCAAAATTAATGATCTTCTATTATTATGTAACCTCAGATAAATATACAACAACAACAAACCTTGTGGAATTGAAATTAGATCATCTTCTATATAAAAATAAGGCGCAATTTTTTCCTTCCATTTCTGGAAAATATCCCAAAAGCTTACCTTGATTTTTCTCAGTAGGTCATAGCCTGTCATTCCTGGCATACAGTAATCTGTTATGATCAGGTTTACTTCTAAATCCTGCAGGAACAAGTAATAGGAATTAGCTCAAAATCCATAGATCTGACCCAGATTCATCCTCCGAAAATGCTAAACCGTTAGCTGAACATGGAGAAACAATTTGAACCTGATGGCCATTAGAATAAACAGAGAATGAATCTGCTTTTCTCTGCTCATCTTCATTCAAACCAAGAAATTTCAAAGCCTTGCTTCCAGAATCCACTGCAGTAACTGTGATTGCAAAAACACATCCACATGAGTCAGATATCAAATTAAACTTGACCAAGCAAACAACACAAGAACACACACACACACACACACACATGTACATATATACATGTATATATTTAGATTAAAAAAAGTACCTTGGAAGGATGATGTTTTGAGGAGTCTCTCAATCAACATTCTGTCAATGAGACTGTCATCCACAGCCAAAACATGAAACTGGGTTTCTGCGGCCATACCCATATTGACTTGAATATTATGGTGTGGCCAAAAGCTTGATGAAGATGAAATAGGGCAACTGAGGGAGATGAAGATGATGAGGAGGGAGATGAAGATGGTGAGAGATGAGGATGGTACATTTTAAAAGGGGAGCCCATCATGGTCAAGAAGATACAAAATCGTCCAAGGAAATCTGACAGTTTGGAAAGCGAGATCCGACAGATTTCATCCAGAATCTCCAGGATCTTCTAGGTTGATTTCTAAATTGAAGAAGAAGCAAAGAAGGTGCTGTTTTACTTGCTCTTTTTTTTATAGAATCATTTCGTTTGACTCTTTTTGTTAATTTATGATTAAAGGTCACTATTCATTAGTGGGTTTGTTCTGCCTTTTCAAGAGGCTTGAAGGTCACTGTTCAATACTGTCAGCATTCCATGCACGTGCATTTGCTTTGGCAAATTATAACTCTAACTTTTATTTTATTGGAAAAATTAAATTTTGTGCCCCAAACTTGACAAAAATCATGCTATAAGATCATCAAAGTATTCATTTAACCTTTGTTTTCTTTTGGCCAACGGATTTTCAATTAACCTGTAAGAAAGAATCAACATCAAATTTTGCCAACCATATCAATCACAATTTTTGGCAATTTTTAGAGATTTTGCCAACAATATTTTTTTCCTTCAAAAAATCCTACTAAAAGTTCATATAATTTATTAATGATATTCTTTGATTGATATTCATGGTCAGAGACCTAACTATATTTTTTAGATCTTTAAACATAATTTTTATTGGGTTTATATAGTTAAACCTAACCCCTCCCCCACCTTCTTTTATCTTTCTATATCAAATGGGTGTGCTTTGCTTGTCTCAACTAACAAATTTGAAGGTCAGCTCAAAAAAATTAACAAATTTGAAGGGCCATATTCTTACTTAATATTGCTTATAAAATATTTGCTTCAAATAGTCAAGCATAGCCAATTGGCTTTTTGGAGGTTGATACACGCTAAAATACAAAAGAGAAATTATTTTTGTTGGCAAAAAAGAAGGGAAATTATTTGTGTGATAAAGCTAACATCATATCAATATTTTGTTAATATCATTTAATATTAAAACTATTAAATCTTAATGTAAGACCTATTTGAGTAAATTAATGATATTAATTAAATTAGTTAATATGACATGTTTTTCTAAAATATTTTAAACATTTTTTTAATTCTCTCTCTTCCTCTCTCTTACTTGATAATTGTTAGAGAATATCAATAGGATTAATTTGAAAAAAAAATAATAAATATGTGAAATATGTCTTATATATAAGTATCAATATCAACTCTTCAATTAGATCCTACATAGGGAGTAATAATTAAAATGATATATACTAAACATTAAGCTAATAATAATTGTCACGCATGACAAAGTTTTTAAGATCAAGTAAATAATTTATAGAAAAAATCGTAAAAAAAAAACTGTTGAAACAGAAAAATTGTAAATAGAAGTTAGGAACCCGTTACAACATTACAATAGGTTTTGACAATAATAGTATAGGTTTTGACAACAATTTTTGTGAACATGTGTCTATAATTTTTCAATTTTAGTGCTCTTTTTTTGCGCTTTTTCCTAATTTATATTATCATTTTATAATTTTCATTCAATTTGTTTTGCCTTTTGTTTTGCACAATTAAATTATTTTGATAGTAAACATTAATATCATAATTATTGTTGCCTTCAAATATCAGACTAACACTTTTGAAGCAAAATTTCAAATAGCATTTATTTATGTATGTAATATTTATTCTTATCTCATAAAAAATAATATTTAATTCTTAATTGACAAAATAAATCCTTAACATAAACTATCTGGATGGATCAGATCAAAGTCAGCATAGTTCTAGCACATCAGACAATATTCTCCAACTCTTCATTTAATTTCTTTTAATTTTCTATTTTTGTAATTATTTAAAGAAGAACAAACTGAGAACATGAGCATGTGAGCAATTGAATAATTGTTGGGATTTCATTTTCTGAATTATCGGAGCGAATCATTTAATTTATCAGAATAATCTCTCTTTTTTCCCCCCTGAGATCAAATCCCTCATGATATTATAATCATAACAGAATCAATTTCGATAAGTACAGATTAATTTCACTTAAAGTATAAAACACAATTTTTTTTGTCAAAGAAAAAAAGCTTTCTGATAATAGAACATATAAAATCATTTCTGATATCCACAGTTGGCATCATTTAAAGTAGAATAAAAATGTACAGAATCGATCATTTTTTTTTTTAAAAAAAAAGATTTATCTGACTAAAAAATCATATTACCTCATAAAGCTGCCAAAAGCCATTAGGATCGCAGGATGATTATTAAAATGATAATTGGTTTTACATTAATTATTTATATTTTATCCACTAAATCATATCCATGTAACGACTTTGTTCGAAGTACAACTAGGAGAATATTAATTAGAGTTAGAGGCATCACAGTATGATTAGCTCAATATATAAAAACTAGTCGGCAAAATATATTTTAGTTTTCTAATTTTATACAAAATTTCAGTTTAATTTCTTAATTCGTAATTTTATAAACTATATTTTTCATTCTTTAATAGTAACAAGTGATATTTTTTGCATTAATTATTATCATTTTAAAATATTAAAATTAATATATTACTATTTGTTAATATTTTGTCCATATTCAAAATTTCACTGTGGTATTTTTTTAAAAAAGGCTAACCGGCTTAGAATTTAAGAATTAAAAATAAATTAAAAACTAGGGGACTAAAATAAAATTTTGTGTAAAATTAAAGAAACAAATCTATATATACTTTCACCAAATCAGTCATATAAATGTAATTCAGGATTATTGCTCTGTTAATTCTATTAATTTTTTTTTATCAAAGTAATGTCAGAGTTCAACCATTGTGTTTAATTTTATCTGAAATAAAATAAAGATATATTTTAAATATAAAAATTAATTCATAAAGTCTTAGTTTAACACAAGACGTTATTAAGACTGCTGTAATAAAGGAAAAACATTATAAATTATGATAAAAATAAAAAAATACTACTCATAGTATATTAGACTCCTCCAATCTTTAGTATAGGAGTTAATTAGAGAGTTGATATTAGTTCTATATATAAGACTTATTTCATATGTTTATCAATTTTTTTCCAAATAAACCATTTTGATATTCCTCCAACAATAATCAAGTAAGAGAAGGAGCAAAATAATTAATAAAAATTTTAAGAGTATATTATTTATCTACTCAAATTAGTTAATTAGGTCTTATATTTAAAGACAAAAAGAATATCATTCATCAACCACATTTATGCAAGGCCTTGGATGAACATGATGAGATGCTTTTTTTTTTTTGTTGAGAAAATAATGAATAAGGCACAATTTAAAAAACTTATGTATAAGTAAAAACTCTGAATTTGTGAAAATATTTTCAACAAAAAATTTACAAAGTAAATCTTCAAGATTTTTTAAATCAAACTTCTTTTTTGGCCCACATATAAATCAAACCTCTTATAGTTACCCACAAGGTTGCTCAAGACCAGCCCGTCTCGGTCGACCCGTTTCGGTCCAGGCTTTATTGGGATAGGACAAATCCGTCTCGAAAATTTTTCGGGACGGGACAAAAAAAAGAACCAGGACGGGGTTGTCCCGTCCAGTCCTGTCCTGGTTCCCTTTTTTAAAAAATTTGTTATCCTATTTATATAATATTATTTTTTTATATTTTTTAAATATTTTAGACTATTATATGGAACTATAGATATATTTATTTAGAGTTTTTATATTTGTTGATGATTTGAGATTATTGATGATTAGAATTTTTAGCAAGTTTTTATTGTGTTAAGAGTTTTTGTTTAGAGTTTTTAATGGCTATTATATATAATATTTTGGGCTTTTATTGAAGAGTGTCCAAACAAATAAAAAATAAAATAAAAATATGTTTTTATAAGGCCTAAGCCCAAAAAGCTATAATTAAAAAAAATCATATTTTATTAAAAAAATTTAAAAAAATAACAAATATATATCAGGATGTCCCGGTTCCATCCCGGATCCGTCCTGTCCTAATCGAGACCAGGATAGAACGGATTGGGACACGTGACAGATTTTTTGTCCCATTACTGTTCATAGGACAGAACCAGGACGGGCCTGTCCCAATTCCGATCTGTCCCGTGAACAGCCCTAGTTACCCAACAACATTTTACCATGAATAACTTTTTATAATATTGATGCTTTAATATTTATAAGTCAAGCTTGACAAATTGACAAATAAAAACAGTTTTGAGAATTACATGCCAAACTTATTAATTTTACAAGTAAAAATTTTTAAAAAATTATTATTTTACTATTCATAAATTAAGTTTTTATTTACAAGTTAATTTACATAATTTTTTTTATTGATTCTTCAAATTTTACAGATTAATTTCCAAGTCAACTTCCACCGTTTACAAATTATCTCTCAAGTTTCAAGGCAGACCTAAATGTTTTTTTAGCTTCTTGAATTATAAATTTGAAATCTTGATTTATAAATTTAAGAATTTGGCTCACAAATTAATTGTAAAATTCAAATAATGAATAAAAAAATTATAGAAACTCACTCGTAAATATACAAGGTTGACCATAAAATCTAAGAGATCGATTTGTAAATATTAAAGTACTAATTTTTAAAAATATTGACTTGTAAATTTAGAAAGTTTTACTTGTGAATCTTAAAAATGTACTTGTGAAAATATGTGAAGATTGACTCGTAAGTATTAGTACTGGAACAGGTTGATTGTAGGTTTAAGAAGTTTGACTTGTAAATCTGCTTATGTCTGATTTATTAATATTAAAGTATTAATATTTTTTGCCCTACTAAAAATATTAATATCACTAAAATATTAATATTTTAGTAGAAATGTTTTTGAAAAATTGTTTTTATTAATCACCGCTGATTGGTAATCTATTGGTGTTCACAGTCAATCCGCTAACGATAGATCAATATTAGTTAAAGGCAAGGGACGCATGTGATATTTTATAAGTTAAATTAATTGCACCAAACGGTACTTTAGCAAATTCATAGGACTTACTTGTAAGTAAATTCCTTATTTGGAACTTACATATAATTCTGCTTTTTATTTTTCTTCAAGATTATTTGATAAGGAAAAAGGTTTTTATGAAAATTGAAACATGTAATAAATATTATATTATCATTTAATACTCCTCCTTGTTTAAAATATAAGTATCAAATCTTTGAAATGGTCTGTTTTCTCATAAGCATTAATCGAATCATTTAATGCATTTTTTTCATTTTTACCCATAATTAATTATATATTTTTCTCATATATTTTTTCACTCATTCTCTTTTATCTCCTTTTTCCTTTTTTTTTTGCTTGACTTTAATCTATCTTTTTTTTTTTCCTCATTCATCCTCTCTCTCACTCACCTTCTCCATAAATAAGAATGTTTTAAGAAAATAAATTATATTTTTTACATATTTATTATGT